ATTAATTATTTTGTTAGAACTCGATAATTATCCTAATTATATTTTAGATTTTTTATATTTTAAAATAAGATGTTTATCCTTTATTTGATTATGTTTATCTACAGTTAATTATACGAATTTAAACATGGAGCTTTAATAAGTTGTACTTATGCATAATTACTTGTAATCTTGAATTTTAAGTAATATGCATTAATATCCAATACTTCATGCATAAAAAATGGTTTTTAAGAGTTTTTGTATATATATGTATTATGATAATAAAATTATTTCAAAATCATGATTGCTTCTTTTTTACCATAAATATTATAAACAAATTATATCATAACAGAAATTTATAGAAAAAACATATTTTAAAAACGCGTTTTTTATGCATTTCACTTTTGTATAATATATCAAGAATCGAAATTCTTTAAAACACAAATGCGAAAATGACTAGTTTTGATCTCAATATTTTTTTTCTTGATAAAGATTGTATTTATAATAATATTTTACGCTATGCTGATTTTTATGACAATATTTTGTTAAAATACAAATGGTTTTAGTACATCTTTTTAATCTTGACAACTTTTTAAGCACGCTGATTTTATGATTTACTTTTTTTTTAATCTTGACTATTGTTGTAATAGAATGTTTGTGTTTAATTGCATATTTACAATTAACTTGATCGAGTTTTATTAAAATAAAAATATCATATAAATATGTTATATTCTGTAATTCTTTATAAAAAAAAGTAGGTATGTTCTACAAACTTTGTCATCATAAATCAGTTATTATATTATAAAAAAGTTTGTTGCATTTACATCTAGAACAATTGATGATTCAAAGCTAGTCATGCATCACAAAGTTTGTGGTCATAAAAATATATTGCATTATATAATGACCATAACATAAATTTACTACCAATCATAAATCAGTGATAAGTTCATATATGTTTAATGGTGCAAAGGGCAAACTAGTGCATAACAATGCACATACCACTCCCCGATGAGGGAAACCAACCATCAATGTTGTGTGCTATTGAAATTTCGTGTTGATGCAAACATGTATTAAAACTGTAAATATCAATATACATGGATGATATAACAGCAATAATAACCCATACACATAATATACAATTACATTGGAGTAAATTACACTTAAAATTTATGAAATTTGTCATTTTTATAGATTTGATCATCGATCTTCATTTATTACAAAAGAATCCTCCACCTATTTAATTTGTGTTGGATTTGGTCCCTCACACTAATGACCATCCAATTTCTCCGTTAAGTATGAGGGTAAATCGGTCATTCTATTATTTTCATATATTTAATCATTCTTAATTAAATTTAAATTTTGTTTATTGATTTTTAATAAAATAAAACCCTAAAATACACACTTTCTCTATCGTCATCTTCTCTCTCTCCTCACTCCTTTAATCTCCATAGTCCCTCCCCTCTAAAACCAAATTAATCTCCACCGACACCACCTCCATCGACAACGCCACCTCAATTGTTGGCGCCAATTTCATCCCATAAAACTGTTCTTCATCTATTTGGTTCGTGACACAGATCTATATCTCCTTCCCCGTATCCTTTCTCATTCTCAACACCATATCCCCCTTACTCTCTCTATCTCTCATCCACACTCAACTCGCAAGATCTGCATTCCATCACCGCCATCAAATTTGCATTAAACTCCTACCACCATCACTAGGCGGCCACCACCACCAAACTTGCACCTGACTCACACCATCACCACCAGAGCATACCATCCGTCGTCTAAAAAAGGTGAAGCAACCTCTCCCACTAGGTCTGTCATCTGAAATTGGTGGTGAATCCATATTTGAAATCCATCTCTAAGTTTTTTTTGGTAATACTTCGTTTCAAGGTTGTTGGTGGAGGTGAACAAATCTATATTGGTGGAGATGCCTTTAGGTGGAGGCTAAGCAAATCTAAGTTAACAAATCTGTTTTTATTTTATTTGTTTTGAGTTAGGATATTTAGATGTTCTTGATTTTTCATTGTTCTTTATTTGGGTCAGGTTTGTTCATTTTAATCTTTTGTACAATTTGTATAAAGAATTAGAATTAAAAAAGATTTAGGATAATGATTTTGAATTTTGAGATGTTCTTAATAGTTAAGTAAGGAAGATGGATATTCAAATAAAAAGAAAAAGAAAAAGAAAAAGAAAAAGAAAAAAATAATAATTGAAAACTGTTAAAATAGTGGAATTTTGTGAAAAGACTCAAATGCCCTTGAGTTGAAAGGGGAAACTGGATGGCCGTCAATGAGAGGGACCAAATCCAATACAAATTAGAAACATGGAGGGTTGTTATGTAATAAATGAAGATAAATGACCAAATGTGTAATAAATTACAAACCTCATGGACTAAATCTGTAATTTACTCAATAAATAATTAACAAACATTAAAGTGCATAAACTAAAAGGCATTTGTTTCAGTATTGTTCGCGATTTTGGCTACGACTTAGGAACAAATCACCTGAATATCAAAAAACTGAAGATTTAGCCTCTAAACTTCATTGCATCGGGAAAAGTTTTCCCTATGCTCAAGTTGAGGAGTTCAAAAACCCTTCAAGCCCTTTGCTCTTCTTGCTAAAATTCCTTTCGGTGGATATGGCAAGTATTATCAGGACAATTACTAAATTGGGAGTTTGTTTCACTTTTCAACCTCTCCTGATAACAAGGATTTTAACCCATCGCATTTATAGGTGAACTTTTATGGTAATCGTGGTTTCTAGGTCAGTGCGTAATTATGGGTTAACTTTTATGACTTGAAGGGCTTCAACAGCGTTGGATTCATATCCAGGGTAGATGAGATTTTCCACTACATCCGCCTGAGGCTTAATCAGTACAGCACAACCCAAGTGGTTGACATTCTTATGTTTTACATACATCACAATTAGCTTATAAAATAGGATAAAAACTATTTGTCCCAAACTTCTATTCTCCTTGTCCACCAATTACATGGATCTACATCATCAATTTTTTAACGAAAGAAAATGTAAAAATATATTGAATAAATTTATACTAAAGAAAAGATAATGACGTGGTTTCTTATGGGAAAGAGAAATTTGGTCCATGAGATATATGAGGTATTGATATGCAACGATACATATTCCAAAGTTCAAACATGCAAACATAGAAGTTTAAGAACATGTTTAATGTCTATCTGAATCAAACTATCACAAATATGCTCCAAAGATATTGCATCATATATGTGCAGACATATTATATATGAAGAGCAAAATAGAAGACACGGGTTCGATTCCCGTTGTCCATCCAAAAAGGTTAATTTTTTAATACCATCGCTCGGCTCATAAGCATCCACGAATATCAACAAATGTTTGGTCAAAACTTAATTATGACGAAAATGTTCCTAGACACTGTATAATTAAAATTAGCTACCAAATTGAGGTGTTGAAAAGCTCGATTATGTAACCGACACCCGTAACATCAGTCGTTGTTTTTGAATTTGGAATTAAATCAATTCCTCTTATAAAAAAACCATTTTAAATATATAAAATTTGATTTGGATATGAAAAAGAAGATCAAGATTTTTATATTGAGCGTAAACAGTGGAGTTGTGGTTGGGTATGGAGAGAGAAAATGGTTGCAACTTTTGTAGATACCCAAAAACTTTATTGAGAACCGTTCGGGTTAAAATACCCGTCAAGGGCTTACGCTAAAATCCCTCTTTGCCCTTCTCCCATCGGCCTCCTTTCTCTGATACAAGAACCTTCTCTCTTTCATCCATGGCCTCTCCATCTCAAGCAAGTCTCCTTCTTCAGAAACAGCTTAAAGGTTCAATTTTGTAGCCTGTCAATTTCGATTTCTTTTTTTTGTTTTTGTTTTGTATGTCTATGTATGCTAATCCGATGATGATCCGTGGTTTATTTTTCTAGATCTCTGTAAAAATCCTGTTGATGGATTCTCGGCGGGTCTCGTTAATGAAACTAATCTATTTGAATGGAGTGTCACAATAATCGGGCCGCCTGATACATTATAGTGAGTTTTTTTGATTTGTTTTGCTGTTCCAAAATTGAATCTATCCGTGTAGGAACTTGATTTTGTGGATTCGGGTTAATTAGGGTTTTTAATTGTTTGTTGTAAATTTTGGGGGGTTTTAGTTGGTTTAGGCTATCAATTGGATGTATCTACTGCCTGTTCATGAATTTGGCCTCATTTTTTTGGGTTTTTAAGGAGTTTATTTATAATGAAACCCATCAAAATTCATTGTTTTTTTTGTGAAAATCTCACAAGTTTCTTGATCAATTATGCCGCCTCAGGCTACATTCTAGTGAGTTGTTCCCCCTATCCATGTTTCTGTTCAAAGATTGAAGCTTTATGCTTTAGGTTTGTGCAATTAATGTGAACTTTTTCTGTTGGCTTTGAGATGATTGTGATTATTTACTTTCATGTGTTTGGGTTTTTGGTTTTGGATATTTGTTTACATGTGTTCAATTATGTTTCTTGGGGATTTTGATATAAAATTTCAGAATTTTTTAGAATCAATTTATCCAATTTGAGTATTTTGATATTAACATTAAGTCGCACAATCGGTCATCAATCACATTTTGATTTAAAAGTTCTGAGTTTTTAAATCAATTTGCAAATTTGAGTGTTTTAATATTAACGTTATGTTGTAAGAAAGATTCTATTCATCTATTATGTTACTTTTGTATAGTTTCAACTGATTCTTGTTGGAACGTATGATAGGAGGATAATCATAGAAATTTTCGACATTATCCTATGAAGGATATTTTTCTGACTCTTGGTTTGTTGATTCATTGTTTCAGCGAGGGGGGGTTTTTCAATGCCATAATGACCTTCCCACAAAATTATCCAAACAGCCCTCCGACAGTAAGATTTACTTCAGAGGTTTGGCATCCGAATGGTTAGTAGGGTGCATCTGCAACAAATTTTCATAGTATCTACCTCTTATGATGTTCTCCTTATCACCAAAGCACTTAATACTTCATAGAGTTTCTTTGAATAGATGTTTCCTTTTGGTGTTGTACAGTTTACCCTGATGGCGAGGTCTGTATTTCGATTCTCCATCCCCCTGGTGATGATCCTAACGGCTATGAGCTTGCAAGTGAGCGCTGGACACCAGTCCATACGGTATGTCATTGTTTCTTTTATCAGAATATATGTTATGTGCAAGGCGCATTCTTTGTGTGTCATTGTGCATAATATTCATGAATACGAAAGATGTTTTACATGAATACCACAACTATTGTGCATAAACCTTGAGAGCCAACTTAATTGGCAAATAAATGCTAGGCCTTGTGGATCCTCCCCGTAGGTCGCTAGTTCAAGTCTCCATAGCCCATAGGGCCACTGGATTTTCCTGCCTGTTATCTTCAGGGACCTATGGGATTAGTCAAGGTGCGCACTAGTTGGCCCAGACACCCACGGTTACCCAAAAAATATATATCGTGTATATCAATTAGGATATGCTTCTTTCATGGAATATTCTTCGCTTGCCTCTCTTAATCTTTGCGACAGGCAAAGCTCTTGTTCAAATGGCAAGTAGTAGTTACTCATGGTCGTTGGTGCTTTCGTATTTTTATGTTCATAATCTGGTCAATAGCCAACAAGACAATCTCCATTAATGTTGATTCAGAATCTCATATGTGTAGAACCAAATTGTTTTCTTCATTAGTCTCAATTTGTTTCATCTTTGCTTATATGAGTGCATATTTGCATGAATTTGAAACCAAACCTAACCAAACCAATCCATGTTGGAGAGATATGGATGTGGGGATGCTTGTGCTGTTGTGCATGATATGTGGATATTTGGAGTTGTAGCATCTTAAAAAAAATTAAAGATACAAGAGCTTACTTGTAGATGTCTGTATATTTACATAAATCTGAAACCAAACCAAACGAAGAAAGAAGGTGCTTCATGATTAAGACGTTAAATATATAAAACAAGACAAATATTTAAGCTTGAGTATGATAGTGATCACTATTTACTCAAGATGCCGATGATAGTAAAGTATGTTAGAGACATAATGAGCGATTGATTTTTCTAACCATTGTACATCGCTTCTTGTTACAAGCAAACCATTGTTCTTATAAAATGGCCGCAAAAGCTGTACAATTATGCAAAAATAAAGTTTTTTTGGTCAAAAAAAATGCCACATATAACGGATTGATTTATCTTTCCACAATTTTTCAAATCGTTCAAATATGCCCATTCTTGCAAACTATAGATTCTTGTTATGTTTTCGCAAGAACGATGGTCAATTTGTAAAGAAAAGAAAAGTACACTGTTTTAAAATACCAACCACCCGTAATTTACGAATTTGTTTCCTCACCTATTATCCTTGTTTACTCTATCCCGTTGTATTCATATTCATGGTTACATTCCAATGTTGCACCCGATAGGGGGATTTTGCAATGGATTGAAGCACACATGCTTTCTAGAGAGCAATTGAACTACCAGTTAATGGTTTCATAAGCCATCCTTCAAACGTTTTTATGGCACCAGATCTGCAAGCTGTTTTGTTTGGCTGATTTGGTTTCTTATGTGTTTGAACTTTCCGTATTTGTTGATTGAAAATACAATATTTGCAGGTAGAGAGCATAGTCTTGAGCATTATATCGATGCTCTCCAGCCCTAACGATGAATCTCCTGCTAATGTGGAAGCTGCGGTAACAAACATATTCCCTCTTATTCTTAGATTTCGTGATTTCAGATTTGATTTCGTGGTGCATCAAAATGCTATCTCACATTTGTTTTCGTGATTTCAGAAAGAATGGAGAGATAGAAGGGACGAGTTCAGGAAGAAAGTTGGTCGATGTGTGAGAAAATCGCAAGAATCTATGTGAAACGGATGTGGTGAGTCCTTATGGGTGATTTGGTCCGTGCGGAATTGCCATGTTAAGTTTCTTATTTCATATATTCGTTCTATACTCTTATTTTGCTTTCCTTTACTTAATGTTATGGCTTATGAAAACAACTTTCAGAATGTCATTTTTGGGACACCTTTTTTGGGTCTGCTTGTGAATTTCTTTTTTTTGTTGACTTAAAAAACGTTATTCAAACCAACGAGCTTGTATTTGGTCGTTATGAAGTCGTGTATCGGTTTCTTGAAACGTATGTAAGATCGTTCTTTATATTCTAAGTTGTTTGCTACTTGTTTCTTTCCACACTTGAAAATGCATATTTATTAATAAAGTGTATCTGATTCCACACATGTTACAATACTGTGTACTATCACACCAGCATGCTTAACCACACCAAGAACCTACATTTGGCTTAACCAGCAGTCGTGTTAGTCCTACATGGTCGAGCCAGATACTTTGTAAATCTCACATGGTTGGGCCAAACTCCATTATTATACTAAACACTAAATCAACATTATATAGATTTAACATCAAAATCATACCTCAAATTAAGCGTTTCCTCCTCAACACACTGCTACCATTTCTACTTCAAGAACCTCACCAGAAACTCTGTTTCTTGTTGGAGAGAGTTTATGTATGTGATTACCCTTATTAGTGATGCCATACAGGAGTTCAAATCCCAACTTAACCCCCTCTCTTGTTTTCAAGCCTCAACGGTTAACCTTGAGGAGAAGTTGGCTCACCGACACTAATCTTGCTCGGAATTAACCCGCCGCCGACAGATGTCCATTTCTATCGGTCATAAAATCAATCAAAAAAGAAAAAGCAGACAGGGACAGTTTGATTCTCTAAACAAGTAGGGGCCGTTTACTAAATGCTTATCCGGTAAGCGCTTACCGGATAAGCATGGCAAGGGCCGTGAATCTTACTTGGTAAGAGCGATGATCAGGATGGAGAGTCTTATCCTGTAAGTGAAGGTGATGACTTTTACCTGATAAGTGAGAATGACGTCCTTTATCTGGGCAAATTGTTGCATATAGTACCGTTTTGGTGGATTACAGTCTTACCCGGTAAAGTAAGTTAGAGTGTAGACTTTTACTGGTAAGCGCTTATCGGGTAACCGTTAGGGTAATAGGCCCCTAAGGCTTGGGTTTTAGGGCTCCTTGTAAGTCACCAGTTCGAGCCCCTTGAGAAATACGAGGGTTTTTTCTGCCTACTCTTCAGGATCCATGAGATTAATTGAGATGTGCACAAGTTGACCTGGACATGTTTTATTTAAAATATATATATATGAGCTCTCCAAGTTAAGCCCCTCATGCCTCCATCGATTTCATTTTATTTTTTTAGGTATAATTTCCATGAATGAATACTTTAGCACTTAATTTAGAATTTTCTTTTCATCGGGGCTGTTTACCAAATACTTACCAAGAAGTGTTTAGTAGCAAAAGTCATCACCCTCACTTGCCTTGTTGAGTGATATTCTCGGTCATCAAAATGGATTGTGGTAAGCGTCTTTTACCCAGTAAGCATTTGCTGGATAGAATTTTTTCCGTTACTTACCGGGTAATATTGTTGAACCTTGTTATGCCTCTTATCAAGTAAAAAGATATCAACCCTTGTCATGGTTTCTGATAAGGTAAGTGATACCGAGTAAACACTTACTCACTAAGGTTTTGGTAAACGACCCGTTAAAGCAGTCCTTGCATATATACATAACAAAGGTTGTGTTATGTCTCCAAGGGGTAGCTAAGAAGATCGATGGTTAGAAATTGAGTAGAAGATGTAGCAAAGACATGAGATCTTATGTTTACCCCCCATATATAATTGGGTCATAACAACTTTGATTTCAAATGCTTGTGGCACTAAATCAGTATCCATCATCAATTAATCTTTCTACCATTTTTATTAGTTGTTTTATTGGTGATATGCAGCATAAAGTGTTTCCAATAACTTTTCATCTAATGTCATTTAAAAGAGATTTAGGGGCCATTTACCTAAATGTTTACCCGGTAAGTGCTTAATGTTAAGAGTTTAACACTATAATTTTATTTAGGGAAAATAATAAGGGATTGAAATAAAATAAATGGAAATGGAAATGGAAAAATAGAAGTTATGTTAAGAAACAAACTACGGTTTATGACATTCCTTTCTTTAATTTATCATTCTTATTTTAGGAAGTCATTCTATTTACGATGAACCAATCAGATTATCCTCGAATCCTTGTTATGGAACACATTGGCTACGCCACCATGTTGGCTACATTTGCTCGCCTCTAATGTATTATACCATTATTTTCTATGGTAATTTGTTATGGTCAAGAAGTCATTCAAATATCACTTGGACGTCCAAATATAATGAATGACGTTGCAAGAGGCTTAACGGGATACATCGCACCTCAAAAATGGAACGAGCTAACTCATTCATTCCTTAATGTATTATTTGTTGTTGAATAAATTTAGATCTAAAGTCACAGTATTTTGAGCAGGCCCGTTCCTGATATTTTATGGGCCCTGGACGAACATAAAAATAGGGCCCACTGTAAGAAAGAAGACTTTTAACAACGACTTTTGTCATCACTAAAAATCCATTTATGACCAGAAAGAGTATATAACATGTTGTCATTATAACTTGTGCCGGAAACATATCATCGCTAAAAAACTCATCGTCAAAGTTCATTTTTCTTGTAGTGACCCTCAGTAAGTACAGAAATAAACTCAATAAATGTTTTCATTAGTATAAATTGAGTACAAGAAATGCTAATAATTTACTAAGGAAAGAAATCATATTTATCTTTATTATAGATATATAAGAGAATACTTATATTTACGTACTTTTATTAGGTAATTTGAAGCCAAGAGTATAAAAACTATGGTTGAGAAATTTTTATAACAAGTAAAAATCTTTTTAGTTCATTATAAGAAATATGTGTTATTTTGATATAAAAAGAGAATTCGTGTGAATGAAGTAATAGTGAGTGTCAATGAGAGATCAATAATAAAGAAGATTATCAAGGTTTTCTAGACAAGTAGATAAATAAGGATCAATAAGAATATGAAAGAAAAGATTATCCATTAAGAACCAATAAAAATAAATAATGAATTAACATATAATATGCAAACTCAACAAATGATTGTTTGAGCACTTAAATAGAATCTTGTGTTATGATGGAATCGCAATGAAAGATATATAAATCAAACAATTGATGAAAATATTTAAATTCTATTTTCCTTCTTTTTTTGCTCAACTAAAATAAGATGTTAAGATTGAAAGTTTATATAACATGACATATATAAGAGACATTACTAAATACATCTGGTAGAAAAAAAATATTGATTAATCATAAAACCATGAAACACGTCACAAATTATAAGAACAATAGAATAATTGTCAAACAATAGTAAAATATTTTATGTAGAAGCAAAAATAGATAATAATAGTCAACAAAAATAATTTGAACAACATAACCAAATAGCAATAGTCAATGGAAGCATATATTGATAAAAATATCCAACAATAGCAAACACATGATCTTAACGTTGAATTGTTGAAGCACGAAAACAGTCAAACATATAGAGATAGCAAAAACTATTATCATTGAACCTTGTTGGAGATAAAAAAAAATTATAGTGGCAAGAAACAATAGCATATATAATGAATGACTAATTAATTTTTTATTTTATTCTTTAATGTAATTAGTTGATATATTTTTAGCCCTTATTATCACCTAAATTCTTTTTGCCTCATATTATATGCTACAAGTTTTTGAGTTTCTTTAATTTATTAAAATTTTTAGACTACTATTGTATTTTAAGGAAAAAATTTGGACCCCTGATATTTTTGGGCCCTGGGCGTGCGCCCGTGTCGCCCTCCCCCAGGGACGGCCCTGATTTTGAGTATTATGACATTGATTCTTGTATAACTCTATGACCCGAGTTATAAGTAGGATATTCAAAAGTAAGAACCCGTCATCCAAAAAGTAACTTCATACTTATACGTCTCGATAGGCCAACACTTATACATATAAATCATTTCATATCATAACAATGAGCGTACTAACGCAACATGCTAAAATAGTTGTTTGGTAGAATTTTATTTTGGAAACATATGTTATATTTTTTTTAGTTTAATCCCATGTTAGGTCCAAACGACCTAAACCGATTAAACCATACCGTCTTTTCTAGTACAGTTTGACCGGCTTGGTCACTTGATGTCAAACCGCTCGGTTGTCAAAAAATTTCTAAGCCATCACTTTGGTATGATTTATTGTTTTTGAAGGTTAAACCGCTTAAACCGAACCACAAACACCCCTAACCAAAGCTATTAACTACTTATAAGACTCGTTGATTAGTGGAGCTTCATCATCCCCTCCCAATAAGCACACTTAGCTCCTTGCTTTCAATTGAACATTGGTCCTACTTAGTAACTACTAAAAATTGGCAAAAAGAAAGTTTGTGTAACTAGTTACGGAAGAAAAGTTTTTCTTAAAAAAAAACCAATAAACTTTTTCATTTTGAATGGTTTAGTTTTTAAACTATTTTTTGAATGAAAAAACCATTAAACTTTCTTATTTTAAATGATTAAATTTTTGAATTGTTTTTTTGAATGAAATAAAAAACACTAAGCATTTTCATTTTAATTGATCAAGTCTCTGAACATTTTTTTTAATAAATAAGTATCGCACTTTTAAAAATTAGTTACCTATATTCTTTTAACTCAAGAAAGGTTACATTAACTGAGTAGTAAAAGTCTGGTGATTTATTTATTTATTTATTTTTAAAAAAATTAGGATTTTAATCATTCAAAATGTGAAAATTTAATGGTTTTATTCAAAATAATAGTTCGGGAACTTAATCATGCAAAATTAGAAAGCTTAATGGTCTTTTATTGAAAAAAATAGTTTATGAACTAAACCATTCAAAATAAAAAAGTTTGTTGGGGGGTGTATGGGACTTTTCTCACTTTAAAATAGTATTATATAAATTAAATAGTAAATTATGTTTTTCATCCCTATAGTTTGTTGAAAATTGCAATTTATGTCCTCATGGTTTAGAAATTGTGATTTTCGTTTTTATGGTTTATAATTTATTACTATTTTCATCCTTAAACTAATTCTTACATTTTTTTAAGTACAGGGAACCAAATTAGTACAAAAAAAAATTTAGCCACAAAAACTAAAACAATAATAAATTATATAACGAAAAAAGCAGTGATTTATAAACTATTAAGACAAAAACCATAATATCTAAATCACAAGGATGAAAATCGCAACTTTTAACAAACCATAGAAACAAAAAACG